TGTGCAGCCTCCGCCTCTTTTTTTTGTTGTAAATTTGCATGTGTAAATAAACAGCAGCATCTGCGTTAATAGACTTTTAATTAGGCCTGGTTAGAAAACGCTCGTTTGGAATCCTGTCAAAAGACAGAAACTGGAGAGATTGCTGATGGTGTGTGTGAGAGAAGTATCTTGGAAGACACAGATACCACAATCCTCATACCTTCAAGTCTAAACCTGCCTCTCACCACAGAGACAGAGAATCAAAGTCAATGTCAGGGTTTTTCTAACAACGTAAAAAAAAAAACAATGGCTCAATTCAGCACTGGAGTTTCAAAGCCTTTAAAATCCCAGTGGGTGGGTGCAGTGTGTGCGCGTTTATGTACAAAACCTCATATTTTGCCAGAATATTGCCTAAGACATTACCGTCGCACAAAATCTTTGAATGCTGCTGGCCGGGCATCTATATTTTTTTCTAAAAATCAATCGACTGTGTTTGCTTTGCGTTCGACTGTAGCGCATTCAAACGACGCAATAAAACAACTTGGCAGCATTTCGAAAGTGTGAAAACACAGCTCGAGCAATGTTGATACCTGACAAGAGCGTGTTAACGTTAACTATGTGTTTGTACATGCAGACAAAGACTGTTTGTTCTCCATTTAAAAAAATGTATACATAAAAATGATTTTACGTAACAGCTGTTTGGGTTTGCGCCGGTGTATTTAGTATGTGTTTTTCATATTGCATGCAGCTTTGCGTATTTGTGAATTTCAATAAATGGGAAAAGGAAAAGAATAACAAAAAGAAGGAGAGATTATAATTTCTATAGAGCAACATTCACCGTGTCAAGGGAGGTGAAGAAAAGGATTGGTAAACGTCTGGGAAGTGGTCCAGTTTGTTAGCTAATAGGGTTCAGGTGCTGTAAAGGATGCAGTCATTCTCAGCACGCGAGGTTATTAAACCACAGGCTAAACGAGAGCCCAGTGGGTTTCCCTCGTTCGCTCGCTCGCTCTCTCTGTCTTCATTTCTCACTCTCAAGAACACACAGCGTGCCTCCATTCGCGTTAGCGGCAGACACTATCCAGACGCTGGCAGAATGTGTTGTGTTTTCACGATCCGCTAATGCCTTCATCTCTCCGACAGCGAGTTGACACACACTCTGCGAGTATTAACGTAAACATAGTCTGTTATGTTTTAAGTGAATGTAAACAGTTGGGAAAGAAAACCTATATTACAGTGTAACGTATCCGTGTGTCAGTACTTAAAGGGTTAGTTCACCCAAAAATGAAAATTAAGTCATTAATTACTCACCCCCATGCTGTACCAACCCCGTAAGACAAATCAAAAAAGATATTTTTGATTAAATTTGAGAGCTGTATAACTACCACATTGGCTCCTAAGGGACTGCCTCTTGACGGCCCAGAAAGTCAATGAAAATGTTTAAATATCCCAAGTGACTACCGTGGCTCAACTATATGTTTATCAAGCGACGCGAATACTTTTTGTGCGAAAAAACAAACAAAAATAACGAGTTTATTCGACTATTTCTTTTCTTCCTTGTAGGCCAGAAACGAGACTTCCTTAGATTTCCACGACGCATGCGCGAGAATTGCGATCTGAAGTAGTGTAAGCTGGTGTGAGCAGATCGCAAATCTCGCGCATGCGTCGTGGAAATCTAAGGAAGTCTCGTTCTGGCCTACAATGAAGAAAAGAAATAGTCGAATAAACTCGTTATTTTTGTTTGTTTTTTCGCACAAAAAGTATTCGCGTCGCTTGATAAACATATAGTTGAGCCACGGTAGTCACTTGGGATATTTAAACATTTTCTTCATTGACTTTCTGGGCCGTCAAGACGAGGCAGTCCCTTAGGAGCCAATGTGGTAGTTATACAGCTCTCAAATTTAATCAAAAATATCTTCATTTGTGTTCCGAAGACGAACGAAGGTCTTACGGGGTTGGTACAGCATGGGGGTGAGTAATTAATGACTTAATTTTCATTTTTGGGTGAACTAACCCTTTAAAGTGACAGCAGCCTCAACTGTGGCCAGTGGTTTCCCAAAGATCCAAAAATTGGATCCAAAATTTTGACAATGTCAAGCCTTGCCGTGTTTTGACATTGTGTGTTCTTGTTTTAGGTTGAGTCGAGATGTTCCTGGTCAAAAAGCCTCCTCGTAACTGGGTATCATCGGTATTTCAAAGAAGGGTGTAGTTCTCCATAATCAACTGCAAGCTTCCATTCAAGTCTGCCTTAATTTGAGGACAATTACTGAGAGTTTAATGTCGAAAGAAAGAATGGTACAGAAAAGATGAAAGGCAGATCAAAGATGTGCTCATCAAGTGGGAGGCACTGGGCTTTCGGTAGATTTAATGACCCATATTAGACAAGTTCACCCTGTTCCTGATCACCATACACACCAGACCTCCCACTTTCTCCAGTTACGCAGCGGAGAACTGGTTTAGAGATTGCGGTCGAGATATCCCTAATACAAAATTGAAGGGTCTAAGGGAGACGTTGTGGTTACATGTGTGTTGAATTACTGTAGTGTGCTTATAACCACTCGGCCACCAGACCGGACTTGATCTTTTTATTCGTCTCTGAAAGCAGGTCAGTGGAGGTCAGTGCGATCCATGAAGAAGAGGTGGATCATGATTACATAGATGTTCCTCAAACCTCAATTTTTAATAACAGGCCCGATACGCTTATGAAAGACTGGAGTTTTAAATACAGAGTCGGAACGGGACCACACGGCCAATAGGCTGCCAACGTTTGACGGACTTGCGTGCCAGGAGCGTTCAGACCGTCGGAGAGGGTTCAGCGGAGCAAACTCGTTTCAGCTCGCAGTCGTGTGTAGTTCTGTCAATGAGTTGTTGTGTGTCAGTAGACTCCGAGACTCCTGAGCAGCTGCCTCGGTTTGTGTATGCTTGCGCTCTTTAGCTTCAGAAGCCTAGCAAGCGCTAGGGGCCAAGTGGTCTGTTTTCCTCATCAAGAGTTTCTCCTCGCGTTCTTTGCTGTCCGTACTGTAGTTATTTCTTTGGTGTGGTGGCAGAGTTTGTATTACACCCCTATTTACTTCTCCATCAAGATCTGTGGTGAATGTCTACAGAACGATGTTGTTGTCTCTGTCCTTCTCCTTTTTTCTCTTTTCCGTTGTTTTGTTTTTTACATTCGTTTGCAATTTAAACTGCCAGACCGATCAGCAGTCCATGTTTAAAGTGGTTTGAGTTCGCCTCGGCTTTACTCCTCGCCAAATAATCTCTCAACATCTGTGTCCTGTGGGGAGATATTTTTGGTGCTTAGCAGAAGAACGCCGTTTTTTCCCCTCCTCCACTTTTTCTTGTTCGCCCCCCCCATCCCCCCACCCAATCCCTTCTTTTTTTTTTTCCTCCAAGAGTTACGATAGAGCGCTTTTGATAAGGTCTAGAAATAGCAAGGCATCTGCGCCGGTCAGGGAGGAAATGGCTTAGCCAGCCGCACCCACTGGCTTATGTTAGCTCAGCGTTAGCCTAGCTCTAGACATTTCCACACACACACAAAAAAACCCTCCCAACTGAAGTCTAACACGTACTTGACAATAAATATTAGAGATGAGATATATCAGGTAGTTTAGCATTCATTTAGCGATGTGAATTTAAAATGAATCAATACTGAAAATGAATGTTTGGAAAATATGGCGAACCCACAAATATTTGACATTAACTTAACATTTTAATGTTTGCGAAATTGTCAGTTGAGGTTTTTTGTACACTTCCTCGCACATAAAATTGCAGTGTGTGTAGTGAGAGCGTAGGTGTGTGTGTCTGTTCAAACGTCCTGTGTGCCGTGAACGTGTTGAAATCTCTCTCTCTCTCTCTCTCTGAGAGCAGGAATAAAAAAAGACTGTCGCACGTTCAGTGTGGTCATTGCTGAGCTTCAAGAAGTGAACTCAGATTTTACATCAGAACCACAAAGTTTACCTCATATTTTACATCAAAGGTAGTGGGTTACCAATGAGTTTACATCAGAGTTACCTTATATTTTATTTTCATTTACATTAGAGTTTACCTCACTTTTAACTTTACCTCACTTTTTAACTTCACCACAGATTTTTACCTCATATTTTACCTCCGTTCATCAAAGATTTGATCTCAGTTTATCTCTACTTTTTTTACTTTTTGCCTTACAGGTTTATTTTAGAGCATCAGAGTTCACCACAGATTTTAACTCATTAAAGTCTCAAACTTTAACTCAGATTTTACCTCATATTTTACCTTAGTTCACCACAGATTCTACCTCAGTTTGACTGACTTTTTTACCTCAGAGTGTGCCAGTTTTTTGTTTTTTTTACCTCAAACTTTAGTTTACATGATTTACCTCATATTTTACCTTAGTAAATCTCAAATTTCATCAATTTACCATACACATTTTAACTTGGATGTTTGCATTAGCGCTTACTTCACATTTTACCTCAGTTGACTTGAAATGTTACCTCAGATTTCAGTTTACATCAGATTTTACCACAGGCTTTGCCTCACAGTTTAGTAACATGTTAGTACAAATTTAGTTGTTGATGTTGTAGCTTGTGTAACCAAAATGGGAAAGACTCAAATGTTCAGCTTTAGCTAATAAACAATTTGTTTAATTGACTAGCACCTTGTAAATTTGACTATAATGGCCTTTGTTGTCAAACACATTTTTGCTTGGTACATGTAGAGAGTGAGAAGGCAAGTAATACAAAACAACAACATTATTCAGAGTTCAAGACATCTGTAGAGGAAACTGTTGTTGACGTTGATTGATCATGTTAGTCCTAGTTACTTCCTGAGTTCACAGTGGAAGGGTAGTGACATTCTGCTTGGTCATGTGATGTTTTTATAGATTTTTCAGCAAAATGTGTGGTTGAAGTAATGAAGTAATGGATTATTTCATATTATTTGTCTGAAAGAATGGTTTAAACCTTACAGAAACAAACCAGCACAGAATGACATTCATGATGGTAACTTTTTAGTAACCATACTATCTCTCTCTCTCTCTCTCTTTGCTTTAGCCACAGGCAAAAAGACAGGAGGAAATGGATGGCCGAGTGACCGGATAGGGGCATGTGGAGGAAATGGACAGACAGCCACCAGTCTGGATGGAGTCAGTTTCTCAGAGGGGGACCTGTTGTTGCAGGTAAAATACATGGAAATGCATCAATTTTCTTGAGAATTACCAGGATTCTTCATAACGACCTCCCACTTGTTTACTTGCGCTCACACTTAACATTAACACATTTTATAAACACCCTGCTCCTATTTTCTCACCTAAAATGGCCCGGATCTTTTGTGTATTCTCATTTGCTCCCTCGTTATTTATTCATGCCGCGCAAAGAAGTCAGTACTTTCCCATTATAATTGTGTGTGCATAGCAGGTAAAAGTGTGAACGTTTCTTCTTGATTCCATGGAAGGATACTAAAATAAACAATACCCACTCAAATAAAACACTTAAGCTTCCATGTCATAAACTCCTGAAGGAAAGTTGGGTTGACATTTTGTTTATTGTAGCTGTTGTTTTCACGCTTGGTAAAAGGGAATGAAGTCTGACCAATTGAGATTCTCCACTGTTGAGCAATGTTATCTTTTCTTCGTAAACTATATCACATGTTGCTTTCCATGTACAAATATTGTGAGTTTCTTTTTCAGCCACATTTCTGTCTCTCTCTCTCTGTCTCTCTCTCTCACACTCTCTCTCCATTGTTTGAGGGCTGTTGTTTCCTGTGCGTGACTAGCGGCGATATTCACCCCCTTGTCTGTTGTCATGTTCAACACCTTAACAAAAGCCTGGATAATTACATGGGATGTTTACTTTAGAGAAAAAAAAGATGTAAAAGAAGAAAAATGGCCCCATTACCCCCACCCATCTACAGTCTTACACTCACTCACAATCCCTGTTTCACATTATGCCTGCTACAGACTGTACGATTCACACTGTACGACATGAATCTAATAAATTTGGGTACGAAATGTATAGACTATTCGATGATGACACCTATTGAATCGTAGGCTACGATGCAAGTTTAGACTTCAGTATATAAAACGTAATCAGCATGCGCGAGTGGTAAACGAATAGAGCAAGATTAATTTCATTCCGGCTATTGTGTTTTTAATGTCCGCTGAAAAAAAGAGAATATAGGAGAATGTAGATGTGGTCATGACTAGGGAAAAGAGGCCAACTTGTTTGTAAGTTTTAGCGCCATGTCATGTTGATCAATACGCGATTTCATGTTGCATTTTTTATTGTCTAGTCCGTAAATGTAGGTCGTAGCAACAAACACACCGTGAGATGATCATGCTAAATTTCTCATACAGTCAGAAAATCATCGATGGCTATCTTTGGTTGCAAGACTGACACACGCCGTCTTTGAACCTCTCACTGGCACAGAAATCGCCACGATTGGTCATCTTTTGTCTGGGACTGCCCAAAATCGCACAATGTGTACCGGAAATAACCCAAGCCAAAACTAACCTTTCTGTTTTTGTTTATGAAATATTTCATGCCATACATCTTACGACTTTTGACATGTTTTAACACATATTTGTCTAATTTTGTTTTCAGGCCCTCAACGGCTTTGTTCTGGTTGTCACCGCGGAAGGTTACGTGTTTTACGCATCACAGACTATACAGGACTACCTGGGCTTCCATCAGGTGAGTTTGCTTTATGCCTGGTTCAGATTACACGATTTTAGCCCGATTTTGACACGATCCATTTGACGTAGGGTATCGTGGGGATTCGTAAACGACAACGGGCGTCGGGGCGCAAGATTCGATCGTATCATCTCGTATAGTGTGGCGACAACCTACGTCGCGTCTGCAACGCTTCATGACATCACGCCAAAAAGACTAGCATGTTTAATTTTTTTTAACGGTCGTCCACGACGGTTCTGTCACATGTATGAGGTTGACCACTAGGAGCACAGAAGCGTTTCCGTACATAACTTTCAAAAATGGCGAAACGAAAGAGTGCTAACGTTAAAACTAAAAGTAAAAATATATAAGAAAACAATATTTTACCTCAAGTTCTCTTTGGAGGATTGACAGCCCATGCTGTCCTTTTCGAGCAACCCAGGAACGAGTCCATTGTCGGGTTTTTCTGAACACAGGACAGCCAATACAACACTCACCGCTTCATCCATTGTTTGTTTACGTTCGTTTCCGGAAGTCACTCGCTACTAGTTTCGCCTTCTTGATGACATCACACGTGCCGTTAAAGACGGTCAGGAATCAACGTGTAGTCTGACGTGTCTTGTCCACGACACAACAGGATTTTAGGAGTCAAAATCGCGTAATCTGACACAGTGACTATCGTAACGGACAAAAAAATCGTGTAATCTGAAACATTAGGAGGTACAACTTTTACTTAACATTAGTCACCTCGTCATACGCTGAAATTTTCATAATCAACACAAATATTGCTGGTAAGTGTCTTAAACAAAAGCTAGGCCTCTTCCCACCTTTACTTGTTTTGTTTTTTTGTATTGTTCACCAAGAAAAATGATTATTAGTTTACTAGCCTCAAACAATCCTATTGCTTTTGATAAATCCAGTGTAATTGTCAAATCTGTGCTGGAGTTGGAAATATTTGAATCATTCTTCACTTGTTTGTTGAGTATTTCCACACCCTGAAGGTATCATGAATTTCTCTTATCATCAGGATAATTCTGTGAGCCCGAATGTCGGTCACGGGTGTTTACTGTTCCGTAACTGAAGCGTGAAAGTAGGTTGTGAAAAATTGCTGTGGTGTCTCTGGGTTCGATTTCTTAATCGGAATGGTTCGTTTACTGTTAAACATCTGTGGCGACGACGAGGGTTTTTTTTTTTTAAACAGTGAACAACCTAGTCAATGTTGTTCAGATGTTGTTCAGGTTTCCTTCCTTGGAAGACTTATTCAAAATGATGTAAGCTAATATTTGCAGATGCTTAGCGATTAAGTGTTTTTTCTTTCCCCCTGTGATGTGCATATCGGACATAGTTTGGTTTTGTTTATAAAAGAGGAGAAGCTCAGAAAAAAGAACATCAAAGAGAGTCAAATTGAATGTTTGGATACTTCATTAAAGAACTTGCGAAACCTGTTTGTCTGTCTCTGTGAACCACAGCCAGTTTTGTGAAAGATCTTATGTTTGTGTTCCTGTGATGTATTGAATGTATAGTTTGCATCTATGGATCATATGAACAGTAGCGTTTTCATTACTATATCCAACAATTGATAGCAAGTAGGCTATACGTTACACAATGCCTACTTAAATAGACATTCTCGCTCTAGGCACACACAAATAATACAATATGGAAAGTATGTGCATACCAAAAGAATGCATATATAATATATGTGTATATATACACCATATGTGAATAAGTGTTTGTTGATGTGCATTCTGTACATATAGTGTGTGCTTGTGATTGCGTACCTGTTTTTCCCTCACTAAATCAATTTCCCTAGAGTGTGACGTTCCCTCTCTAGCATGTAAGCACCACCCGCAGTCAGCACCACCTGCACACATACGCATAAATGCATTACATACCCACTGCTAACACCTGTTGTGACTTAGGTCGCTTATAACTATTCACTTACTTTTAATTACATTATTCTATTAAGTAGGTGCCATTTTTATAGTGTTAAGTGTTCTGTGCTTTTACTCCTCAAATCAATTCTTAACAGGGCTGAACAACATTTTTTATATATATTTATGAATGATATAGGCTACTATCCTTTTGTTGATTGCACAAAATTAAGAAATTTGTTAACTGTAGAAGTGAATATTGTTGCAATAATTTGGTCTTTAGATGGGAGGTTTGATTCGATTATTCAAATAAATTTAGGATATTCATTAAAAGGCTGAACAATATGATTTTATAAATAATATTAGTAGGGCTGTGCAAAAATTAATTGCGATTAATCACATCCAAAATAAAAGTCTGTGTTTACATAATATATATGCTGTGTATAATTATTTTGTATATATAAATACATATGTATGCATGTATATATTTAAGAATTATTTGCGCTTCTGTGTGTATATATATATAAATACAAAATCTATATCATATAAACATAACACATACTCTTAAATTTATACATGCATGTGTGTGTATTTATATATACAAAATAATTATATACAGCACACACAAATATATTATGTAAACACAGACTTTTATTTTGGATGTGATTATGCGATTGCACAGCCCTAAATATTAGTATTTAATTTTATTAGAATTAGCTCAACATCATTATTCTACGTGCCCTGCTGAAAAACATCTGTGTATACTCTATATATGTTTAAATGTCAGTGACATGTATACATATTTTTGAGCAATTAACATATATCTCTTCTTTCTACTCCCTACCCTGTGTGTCCTCATTAACCTCTAAATGCGTGTTTGTTGGTACTAGTTGTCATGAATGGTTTCTGGACCTTGTCTGGTTTCCATCCCCACTGTCCAGCAATTATCTGTTTTCATAGGTCTTTTGAGGAAAGAGAGAGAAAAAACAAGGAGGAAAATGCATAGGCCAAAAAAACCAAAAAAAACAATGCAAGACAAGCTGCAGTTACTATGCCAAGCCTCTAGAGGGAAGCGTCTACTTTTTGATATACATTAAATTCAGTCCTAAAATGGAATGCTTTTTCATTAAATATGAGCCACCCCAATAGGCTACACTTTGCATTTGATTGACATTAACACTGGAATTAAATAATGGAAAGGAAATAACCACATGGGAACTTGTTTGTGACCGTGGAAATACATTACCATATTGAATAACGGAATGAATTAGGATTATTCAGAGTTTGCACCCAGCCCTGTGATAACATGCCATACGTTTCATGTACGTTTTTATTAATGTACTCTTTCACTGTCTTCACAGTCGGATGTGGTCCACCAGAGTGTATTTGAGCTCATCCATACAGATGATCGGGCAATGTTCCGCAGACAACTGCACTTCGCTCTCAATCCCACCTCGTGCGATGGTAGCGAAGGATCCGATGGTTAGTAGCAACTCGCCCTAACGTTGGTGATCAAATAGGGTCAGTGAGTTCCTGCTATGGTGCCCAGCCCTGAATGTTTTGTCAATGAGCTGATTACTGCTGTCATCATTACTGAGTCAAGGAAGTATGTTTGTGGAGAACAAGCTGTCGGAGGATCAGTTCAGATTTATAAAATGGAGCCTTGTATAAACCCAGGTAGTGATTCACAGCCGATTACATCACTGTTTTCCTCTTTTGTTTGGCAAAACCAATTGGTCTACAGCAATGCAGAGCAGCAGTGACATCACCAGAGACATGGTAAACTACAACCCTCAACAGATCCCTCCAGAAAACTCATCTTTCCTGGAACGAAGCTTCTGCTGCCGATTCCGGTGCCTCCTTGACAACTCGTCAGGCTTCTTGGTAAACTTCCTAGATGTCTATTAGACCTTTATGCCAGTCCAAACCAAATTGTATATATTTTTAGATGAACACTTTGTTCTATATTCAACCATGTATGATTTTCTGTGTACACAATGATGCAGTAACAGCAACAGCTGTGTACATAAATCTGCTGTGGATTGTTTACTCAGTGTCAGACCCTCATGGGGCTAAAATGACTTTCATGTCCTTCCCTTTGCCCCTAAGGCCCTGAACTTCCAGGGGAGGCTGAAATATCTCTATGGGCAAAACCAATTGGTGGAAGATGGGACCTTGTCCCACCCTCAACTGGCCCTTTTTGCCATAGCCACACCCCTCCAGCCACCCTCAATCTTGGAAATCAGAAGCAAGACTCTTCTTTTCCAAACCAAACACAAGCTGGACTTCACCCCCATTGGTATCGACACAAGGTATTTTTGAGCTTGAAGTAAAAGACAATGTCAGATTGGGCCAATACATTTTTTGGAAGGGGTAGAAACAGTGTTAACATTTTTTTCCTATCTACTGTATTTCTCATTTTGCAGAGGGAAGGTGGTTCTTGGCTACACTGAGATTGAGCTGTGTATGAGAGGCTCCGGTTATCAGTTCATTCACGCTGCTGACATGATGTACTGTGCTGACAACCATGTCAGAAGTGAGTTATATCAGACCTTGACCAAGGACTTACTATTAAATCAAAGCCAAGTCCATTCTTAGATGTAGATTTTGAACTCTATAAGACTATCAGTTTGATTTCTATAGAAGAGACATTTTAAAATATATGTTTTCTCTTACTTTATCTCATAGTGATAAAGACAGGAGAAAGTGGTTTAACCGCCTTCAGACTTCTCTCAAAATGGGGTACATGGATCTGGGTGCAGTCCAATGCGAGGCTTATTTATAAAGGTGGAAGGCCAGACTTTATAATTGTTCGACAGAGAGCACTAACGTAAGTAAAACCTGCTTTTTAGTAATGTCGTTGCTGAGCTAATCTCCTTGTTTGTTTGTTTTTTCTAATGAATATAATGTCTGTATTTTGTAGTAATGAGGAGGGTGAGGAACACCTCAGTCAAAGGAAGTTGCAGCTACCCTTTAACTGCACCACTGGTGAGGGTGTCTTGTATGAGACTGGCCCCACACTGGACATCATCAATGGGATTCAAAATAAGAGCCCACCCCAGAAGATAAACAAACCTCCGTCTCTGGACCCAGATTCTATTCTTGGCTCCATGCTGAACCAAGATCTTTCTGTCTACAACCAGAACAATGATCCCAATTCACAGTTTATGCTTGACAAGGCTTTCAGGGATAGCCACGCCCTGCTCAATGTCCCTGGGAACACCTGGCAGCCGTCAGCCACAAACACTGTAGCTGACATAAAGGAGGAAGGTGTGGTAAAGGACATGATGGAAACCTTGCAACATATTATCGGGGACACCACTTTTTGCGACAACCTTCAGGATTTTGATGTGGACAAATTGGAGCTGAAGGAGTGGGAGAACACTCTTCTCAGAATGAACTACAACAATGATATGGATCTTAACAAAATCCTCACCAACGACATCCTCTCCTATGTCGAGGATGCACTTTTCAAGGAAAGTGGTGTTCAATTGCCTGGACAGCAGGACCAGGGGCTATTTGTTGAGGTGCCGGAATTACAGAATAACGCAGCTGCTAACCAGGCATTCAACTGCCAGGCAGGGATGCTTGGTGGATCCCAAGGTCCGGATGGGTTCATCGGAATGAACATCCAGGATGGAGTGGATGCCAGTAGCCCTGGAAGAGGGATGGCCAAGCTCACCCATATGGGACCACAGATTCTACCTGGTGACACTTTCGTCCAATCATTTGGACTAGACCAGGCAACCCAAAATATGCCCAGCAATAATAGCATCATGTTTAATCCTTCTCTTGCCATGCAGCGTAGTCAGCAGTCGAGCCAAGTCAGGCTTGGTCTGCAAGGTGCTGTGCAAGAGAATGGAATGGTGCCATGTGGCGAGAGAAACCTACAGACTGGAAACCCGCCCCATCCCAACGCAATGACTCTCCCTCTTCAAAGCCCACTATTGCAGGGCACTTCCACCCTGCCGATAGGCTTCCAGAATTCACTTCCCCAACAACCGTCAATCAGTCAGAACCCTCAGTGGGTGTCCGACAGCAACAATATGGTGGATAACCTGCTGAACTCTTGCGGCCGTAACGTGTCAGGTTCACAAGATGCAGGACTGCACTCTGGCCCAACTACCCACTTACAAGGACAGTTTTCTCTTCACACTCAAAATCCTGCCAATCCGGGACTGCCTGCCTGGCAGAAATCCCAGCCTACCCCTCCGCAGGTCCATAAATCGTTTTCCAGCGAGCATCAGAATATAATGGGCTTCATCGGCCAAGTGAAAGATGTCCAAAAAGACATGCTTGGACAACTGTTGTCGCACACAAACCCACAAGGATTTGGGTCTGGCCTCCTGCCCCAGACAACTGCAAATGGCATCTATCCTCAGCAGACCTCCAACAGCTGCATGTTCACAAGCACGCCTCAGCCCTCGGTGAATGGGATGCAGTATGGTTCTGCCGATCCAGTATCTTCAATGTCATCCTGCCAGAGGGCTAAAAGTTTGATAAACCAGAGTCCAACACAAGCATCCTGTTATTACCAGAGAGGTCCTAGCGAGGACACACCGGTCATCCCACAGGAGGACACCAACATCAGCCCCATGGCCTGTCAAGTCCCACCTGGATTAATTCCAGATAACATACTTGCTCAGCAGTATCTCTCCTGCAATGGCCAGACACAGGTAAACTGTACTAATTTAATCCATTGTGTAATTACAACTTTAAAGTAGCGTGCTCTCTAGATCACAGATCAAAGCAAAAACGTGTGAGTCTTTGAGTTTGTTGAGAATGGCGGAACTGCCCTGTTTTTACCCCAGGTTTAATGTGTTATCGCACATCCAGGGCTTTTTTAACAGATTGGGGGTTATCTCAGCTCTACCACCAGTCACAAGTCATTGTAGGAAAGAACTGTTTTGGGATTTTACTTTTGTCACCATGTGTACATGGGTATTTTTAAGGTGGACTGATTCTCAAGATGAATCTTTTCACAATGTGCTCAAGTAATTCTGTAAAGTGGGCAATACAGAGTAGTTCTGGGTGACTAAAAAGATTTCTTGATGTAATTCGTTTCTAATATACAAGCTATCCATTTTCATTAAATTCAGTATATGTCAGTTATATTATCCATTTTTCTTAGATATGAAGAAAAGAAAAAATATGCCGTTAAGATTTTGTCCTGGATAAGACAAAACCATTCAAGTTCTTTTGAATATGAATTATGCTTTCATAAAAAGTACAAAACCCTCTATAGTAAAGGAAGCCATCAAAACAATGTGTCCGTAACCTCTGGCTGGGTGCAAAAGTTCAAAATGGAGAGAGTTCTGCTTTAAATTCCTTTCCATGCACAACTTAATGAATATCATGACATGATTACCTCGGAATGAACAAAACATTCCTTTAATGGTTTCATCTTTGTCCCTTCACAGATTCCAAACCGTCCACTTGACGAGAAAGGATCATACCTCTTTCTCTCAATGGCCAACGGAACCAACTACTTTTCCGAGAACAACCAAAGCAATTGCTGTGACTATTAGTGGTAGATCCCACCCAATGCAGTGACTGACACATCAACAGTGCAGCGCCTGTTTCTAGGGAAAAAATGCACACATAAATACAGCGACTTGTTTGTCCCTTCGAGAGAGATGCATCCGCTTCTGATGACACTCTGGGCTTAAAACCTACGAGACGTTACAGAACTTTAAAAGCAATCTTCACCACACATTTTTTCACACTTATCTACTTATTCACTTATTCACACCCTCTCTGATTAGAAATAAGGAGTAAAAGAAAGTTCATATTTATTTTTTAAAGCATGTCCTTTCATCCCTGATTGGATTTCTTTTTTTTCCCGCCATTCTGGAGTGGGATAATGGCAAGGAGAGGTGTGTGAGCAAGTGTGTGTTTGTGTATGTGTGTGCGCGAGGAAGCCTAGAGTTCATTTGTGAAGTATGCAGAAGGAATGGAGCACCGTTTTAATTACGGGGACAAGATTCTGAGGTAAAGAAAAAACACCACCGAAATCAATAGTCCCGGAAAATATGTCCCCATTTCTGCTACACAACACTTTTTCCATTCAAGGAGTGAAATTGAAACAGTACAAGATACCCTCTTTAATACCGTCTGCTCTTGCCACCCTTTTATGCTTGCCTTAACCATATGTTTCATGTGTATTACAACAATATCTGAATGTTATTGCTTATCATTTATGTGTTGTTTTTTTGTTTAATAGTCGTCTTTTGTACTTTTGTATGCATATAATCGAAATTATGGAAATACCATTGAGCCATTTTTCCCGCTTTTTTTTGCAGTAATTTTGTAATTTGCTGATTACACTCTTGCTTACTATTCACTTATATAGAAGAATAATAGTAATTCTTCAATCATGTTGCGTGCCATGAATCACAGCAGCCAGCGTATCCTGCCTCCAGAGGAAAGGTAAAATATAGTGTGAGAAAAGGAGAGTTTTGAGAAGATGTCACAATCTGGTCATCAAGAATGATCCCAAACATAGTCGGAAAAAGATTTGACTAACTTTTACGGCCACAGTGAAATTTGATTGACTCGTCTATAGTGTCGTTCTTTAGTCATCTGTAGTGTCGTTCTTGGTCAATCAGGAAATGCAGCAGCAGGCAAAAAGTTTAGAACAAGCACAGTGTAGAGAATTTGTTCAAAACCCATTTCTATGAATCGCTCGTAAAACTATTCCTGCGTGAATTGTACGCATAGAATTAAATGCAATACACAACCAAAATGTGTAACTGTAATGTTTTGTGAATTAGCCCCAAAGTTTGTAGACCACTTTGAGCCCTTTTTTTGAAGAATTTAAAGCCATTTGATTCAGCATTTTGAATGTGTAAATATACCAAAACATATTTGTATGAGATATCTCGTGACTTCGAGAATTATGACTGATTGGTTTTATTGGCTTTTAAAAAAAGGGTCGCTACCTACCTTTTGAAAAGGCTTTTTACATTAATTTTCTCATAGAAACTTTTTGTCGACAGCTGTTGCTTCTGAGATTTGTTCTTTTACCCTGCAGTAAGAACAGAATATATATATATAACCACAAACTCATGCACCCGAAGCCTTTTCCTTTCATCATCTGAAATGAGAACACAGTGTGCCTTAATTTCTTTCTCCCTAAAGAATATTTCACTTATTCCCTCCTGTTTTCCCTCTCTTTGGATGAAATGATCGTGGCTTGCGGAGGAGGAAAGGAATTGAAATGGCAGCTATAATTGAATCTGAGAAGCAACGTTTTTTAACAACTGGTTGTTGTTAGCATGGACGGAATCGACTATGCTAGTTTGCTGAGTGTTGTACATAGCCTCGCAGTTTAAGAGTTACAGGACACGCATTTTGCCCGTTTGTCGTCTTAAGTGCCTTAAAACAGCTTTTGTTTTCTGAGATTAGTGACTTGGTTTCGTTTGTAGGCCTATTGAAAGCTAAAGTAGCTGGTTTTGATGAAATGTTAGGGCGTTCTGTGTTTTATTGCTAGATGTCTGATGGTTAAAGGTGGAGTAGGTAGAAATTTTCTAAAAAAAAACGTTCACAAATTTGTTTACACTGTCTATATATACCAATGCATAATTAAAATGTAAGTACTCTCTGAAAAAAAAGTATACAAATCGAGTGTCGTAGTCCTCTGAGTGCTGCAATAAACACAGCTCATTATTTCATTCTCTCCCACCCCTCCCGTCTGGGATCCTTACAAAGCCACACCCCCAAATCACATGAACACGCACTGCCGAACCGCGCTCAGCTGTAGGACGCGTTTACCAGCTCCTCGAGCAAACGTTCGCGCACGTGGGCTGCTCTTAAGGCCAATTTATACTTCTGCGTAGGGTGCGCGCAGTAGGTGCGGCGTACCATACGCACAGACGCATAACATACCGCGTACCCTTCGCTGTAGCCTGACGCGCACCTCCTCAAAAAATGTAACTACACGTCGCGACGACGTGAACCGCAAGATCTGGGATTGGTCGGCTTGGTAGCATTGCATTTCCTCCTAGGCATTTCCGCACGTACTATCTCACGCATTTCCGCACCGTCTCCGCCGACGTCTTCTCTCGTTTCTGTCTTTGTTTTAGTAGTTTCACTAAAATTAACTGTTTTTCCACCTCAATAAGCTCCAACTCCAACTTGATCCGCTCTCTTTCAGTCGCCATTTCTTGTAGTAACCTAGCCGCGAGGAATCTAAACACAGTGGAACATTAAAACCCTCTGCCGCCAACTAGCGTTTCGGAGCAGTACTGCAGAGCAACCAAGACCTAAATGCTGAAGCATAAATGGTCACGACGGCATTGCTTACGTGTGTAGCCTACGCCGTACACTACGGCGTACCATCAACGCAGAAGTATAAATAGGCCTTTACACAGCAGTGCTGGTAGCCATGGTAGCGAGGGAGCGTGGCAGTCGCCCAGCCAATCATTTCTTTCGTCCCGGTTGGAAATAATGAGCTGTTTATTGCAGCACTGAGAGGACTACAGACACTCGATTTGTATACTTTCTTTTTCAGAGTACTTTGATTTTAACTATGTATTGGTATGCATAGAAAGTTTAAACAAATTTGGGGAAAAAAAATTTCCGAAAATTTCTACCTACCCCACATTTAAGAGTAAACCTAGTAAATCGCTAAAGGGTCGTATGATTCATGGATGATCAGTTGGCTAATTGATTCGTTTATCAGTTTGTAAAGTTGACCGATTACGCACAAATAAAAGCAATGGATTTGTTTTGCTCTGATTTTCGTTTTCATGCTTTAAAATATCTTTCTCGCCATGTCCTCCGACGCGATAAAGCTCCGTCCACAATGATGTATATTAAATCAGTGGTTCTCAAGTGGTTTTGCTCCAAGACAGATTTTATCCTACAAATGTCATTTCAATCAAATGTTTAATAGCTTTATAGGGCGGAGGTGCCATTTTATTCATAGCTACTGTTTAATGCATCTCAAACACTCGCAAAACATTTTTTCACACTTGTGTGAAACTGAAAACGATCTATTTTTTTGCTTTGCTTACTTAAATGCCCTTAATAGTGTTTTATAATAATGTTCATTTGATATTAAATTCAAAAGAATATCTATTCCTGCAGTTAAAAACGCATCGAGGTGTTTGGGTCATATTTTCCCAATCAAAACAGACCTGCGACTCAATTTTTGGGCTGCATCCCACCAGTTGAGAACCACTGTATTTGAGATTTGGCTTTTTAGTGATGACAGACAGATTACTTGTCATCTTTAATCCTGTCCATCTGCTTAGGAAACTACTATTAGACTATTTAGTTTATGACTTCTGTACGGTGCCTAAATATTAGTAATTTGTGACTAGACAAGGTTTAGTGGTCCAGAAAATTACCCTTTCATTTGCTGTATACCTGCAAAATGCCATTAATTGAAATAGGTTCACAGTGGGGAAAACACCAATAATCGGCCTCTGCATTGAACTCCCCCAGTGCCAAAAAAAAAATTAATAATAATAATAATAATAATCATTCATACATGTTAGGATGTCCTCCCCATTCACCACTAAACTACAAATCCTTAATACTCAACAGTTCAGATGCCCGTGTCTTGCGTAACAACATGTTTGTGAGGCCTCTCTTTAAATGCAGTATCTTTGTTTATTTGTTGTATCATTGTATGTTTGTTTCTTTGCTTGTGCATCCAGCATTGTAAATGCTTTTATGTGTAGGCTACTATACATCTTTTTTTTTTTTTTTTGTACATTGTTCCGCACAACTGTAAAATCTATACGCAAATGGATGACCCACAAATAAAAGTTATACACACACTTCTATATTATATATATATATAAAATATAGCTTTTGTTTGTTTTGTATTTGTATTATCAAATGATTAATTTTTGTGTTGTGCCTCTCATTATTGATATCTTTACAATATTAAACGGGGGTCAATGACTCTATGGCGTTAGCTGGTCATTTTATTGGACATCTGTTTAAATGCACAAAAACAATGGATGGATGGATGGATGGATGGATGGATAATAGATAGATGGATAGATGGAGATAGATAGATAGATAGATAGATAGATAGATAGATAGATAGATAGATAGATAGATAGATGATAGATAAGATAGATAGAGATAGATAGATAGATAGATAGATAGATAGATAGATAGATAGATAGATAGATAGATAGATAGATAGATAGATAGATAGATAGATATCATATCTAGCTAAATACGGGTGTGAAAGGGATCTAAAAACGTTTAGAGCTTGTCCACTTTAGACCACTTCAGAGGTAGACGAAAATTAGATCGACACAGAAAAAGTTTTCACACGCAAGTTGAAAGTCTTTGGTTGTGGATAGTAAAACACTACATCTGCAACATTTATCAAGTTCATGGATAATTATACATTTGTTAAACATTATGTTCATCGAATAAAAGGGTGTCCACTCACTTTTCCTCCGCCATTCCCAACGGTCGTAGGCTACTACTGGGCTGGCCCAATATCGTTAGCCTCATAGCATTGCTATGAGGTCATTTTGTGTGTCTGTTTTGTTTTTGTTTTTTTGTTTTTTCTTGTTTTCCAAAGACATTGAAATGTGAATTAGGCAATTATGCCTTGAGGCTAACGATATCTAACATATCTTTGGCTGTGTAGACTAGTAGCCTAGTGTATACAGAAAGGTTGGGTGTAGTTTACGTGTGTTTACCACATGGGGGCGCTAATGTACATATTTTGAATGTGTGCCAGTAGGCCTAAAATTTCATCATGCAGGCTAGCACTGTAGGCTACTACTAGCGTAAAATAAAACTTAAGAAGGCGATTTGAAATGGATCGTTCTGTCGTGTTCAATTGGCAACAAAGAACAACAAAGAAACAATTGTTGTAACTAGGCCTACTTGGTGTGGTTGGCCACAGTTTTATTGGGTGTCCTAAAACAAAACTTACAATCACTTTTGATTTGAATAATATTTTATTCACTACTGCCCTTTAAATGCATGCGTATAAAACAGATGTGTGCAATGTGTATGAAAGAGTCAGCAGCTTCATGCACTTGAAGGGATTTTGCTGTGGTCCATAAACAAGTATTATATATACCGTCATTATAGTCAATAAATGCTGAACAGCAATAAACGCTTCTGAAAGCGCAGGAAATGATGCGTCATAACAGAAGCTTGCAAATGGGAATTGACTATGCAACTGGCCCCTTTGCAAGCGCCATATGATCCATATAATATGTCAATAAAACGGTAAGGGAATGAATTAATGACTAAAATGATAAACGAAAAGATCTCACCGCATGAAAGCATTCAATATCATTATCACCCCATTAAAATATTACTGGAATTTCTTAGGGATTACACTCGATCATTTAATTTATTTTATTAATTTTGCGTAAATATGTTTCACAGAAAACACTGTTTGTTGTTAATTATTATTATCTATTTTTAGTAAACATTTAAAAAAACATAGACATTTATTATATTTAATGTAAAAATAAAATGTTATTTGTTTAAAATGTTTATTGTATTAAATTTGTAACAAATCCTGCGAGGTGCTCTGTCCGCTGATTGGCCAGAAGTGTCCAGGATTCTAATGAATATTAATCGCGTCGCGAGCGATTTTAGCCCTACGTCTCATTGATGTCCTACTATCCATCCTAAACCGTATGCGAGATTAAAATAAATGCGTCCCAGTACGTTAAAAAGCGTATGCCAGACCAGAAGTTCCCGGATGGTCTACTCTTTCCGGTGGATTTTCAAAACAAAGGCTAATATTGCCTGAACATTACTACGAAAGAACTACGAATATGAGTAAAAAGTGTTTGTTTGTTGTTTTTTTTAACCCATGGCAGATATGCGCGACCAACGGTGAGAGGTTTAGATAAAGGTTTGAGTAATCAAAGTTTAACCTGAGCAAAATATGAATTTATTTTTGCAACAACAATGTGGACTTTTCTATCCGTTTGGCCATTAGCTTTTAATTTATTATGGCCATCATTGTGCATTAATATATGAGGATGAATGACCCGCAACTGCAGATAAAGTGCTTCTGCATTTCTCTCTGATACGGTAGGAAATGAAATGTGGAGGATTTTATCTTTAACAAGATGATTGACAGGTCAGTTCGCGACAGTGCAACCGTTAAAGACGCAATTGTTTGACGTGATAGGTAAGCTTGTCTACTCTTCTGCTACACACTTAAAAATATGCACTTTTTCTTCACAAAAAGAGTACATACTTTTAGGGCGTATAAGTAGGCGAATTAGACGCACCAGTCTAATTAATATTCATAAACAAATCGTTGCGCCTAATTACAAACGTCTGCCTTTCTATCCATTACCGCTGACCAGACCACGCGTCACTATTCACAAGCGAGAAATCGTAATTTTGAACTCCTTTGACCAATCACGGGAGACGTCTGACGTCCTGTATCCTAGGAGATTTTTCCCCTTTGCCTTTAACGCCGTGGCCTCTGATGCTCTGCGCGTGCTCCTGCGCAAATCTGTGCCGGTTGCCTGGTCAACCGAATGCGCGTGCCCCTGCAAGCTGATGTCGGGGGCGCGCAGTTGGAGGACTTAGTGGAGCAGCTCGGCCAAAAAGAAAAAAAAAATGAATTAGACACGAAGCCTGGAACAAATTATGATTCTGGGTTTGATTTATTTTGCCCGTTCTGTGTAAATACAGTTTATAATGTATTATTTTAACCAAGTAAATGACTTTGGAGAGCTGTTTACACAAACTCGGCCGCACTGAGGATGAAGAATATGATAGCGAGGACCTGCTGTCACTTCTCTTATGAACGCTGAAATATATTTGAAGAGGAATTACACTTTTTGATTCACTTTTTGGGCGTTTTAAGTTTATAGGACTGATATTAATTGCAGTTTGGTCATGTTGTAGCAGTAGCTTTGGGTGCCTTTTCGCACAATCAAATATTAATTTATTTTAGAATTTTAACACTCATTGCCTGTTCAAGAAAGAGTGGGTCTTCGGGATTTTACTGTCTTTTAGAAATCGTGGGTTGAATTTATTGGACCCGAAGAGTTGGATTATAACCTACTGACGCCTTAAACATGTATGCTGGGCGAAAAAGAAGAAAACCAGTGCAAAGATCGTAAGTGATACAAATAAATGTGTGTGTGTGTGTGTGTGTGTAGGCGTACTCAATACGGTGGTCCATAATTAGA